TGCACTTATCTCCAAGTGAATTTTAACCCTTTTTAAGGACAGCAGTTAACAGTAAGTCAGTGGGTTCTTATGCCTTAGCCTCCAATTCTAGTTATAAAACCTGGATTCAGGTTCGGACAGACTGGAGCTCTTTTAGAATCTGAGCAGTAGTTCTTCCACAACCAAACGTCACAGTTAGAAACTAAGTGTAGAAAGAGTTCCCAGGGGAACATGAAAACGACATCACCTTATGAAAAAGCTTCAGAATGAACCTGTGAAACAAACAGCAACTAGATAATTGCCCTCTACAGAAAAATGGAAGTAACAGTAGAAGAATAGAGTAACATCTTAAACAGTCAGTGAGTCAGTCTGAACGTACAGGATCCCTACAGATCTGTGATGAAAGCTAAGGGCCAACACCAGCTGGTCCCCTCCAGCCTCAAAGGAGTCTGGGTTGTGATTCACTCTTCACCAGCTGGAAGATTGTCCTCAATCCGCCTGATGAACTTCATTCTTATTTCTGTGACGCTGTCCCCTTTCAGTGTGTCCTGGACAAACTTGACATCCACGGCCATCTGAACCTAGGTGATGGAAGAGAAAAGCAGAGCTCTTATCTCCTTTATAGAAGCAGCTTCCTGCCTGACCCTGAAGCTTAAGGACTCTGAAGATATGATGTGCAGTGCAGGGCTCTGGGAAGGGACGTATCAGTTTTCAAGATCACAGCTTTCTGCATTTTGGCTTTCAGTGGACAGTGGGCACCTTGCCTAGACAAACAAAACACCTACGGGGTAACCAAGAGTCCCTTCAGAGATCAGAGTCCAATTAAGCCAATTAACCCCACCACTCAGTGCTACAGATCCCTGGATTATTCATATCCTGCTGGAAGAGAGACGTTGGCTCACCATTTCCAGGGCACCTCGCAGCACTCCACACAACAGGTTGGAATAGATGAGGGTGGAGTGGTTGTCGGGGAGCTCCACAAAGTCCACCAAGGGGTTGTTTTCTAAGATCAGAGAGAACTCATCACCTCCAGGACTCCAGTTGGTGATGCTTGGAGTGATGCCCAGGTACATTTTAAATGCTATCTGTTATGTCAAACAGAACACAAACGAGAATGTTAGTTACACTCTGCTGTTGGCAACCTCCTAAATACATTTCAGCATATATTTTCCACCATTCTTTCTCTCGTTATACCACAATCCCATCTGCAATCCTATGAAAGAGCACATGGTAAAACCCTGCCCACACGCTGCCTGTGCCGCTGACACAAATGCAAGCAGCAGCAACAACCCAACAAAGCTGAGCTCTGCCAGTTACCTTTGCAATAACATCTGCAGTTTCACGGAAATCGTGGCATCTCCCAACATTGGATCGGGCCAGAAAATCTTCTATCAGCCGAACTCCTATGTTGTAACCCCTGTGAGAGCACACAAGAGGAACGGGCTATGGATTAAAGAGCACAGCTGCAGAAAAACAACGAGCGTCTACAAAAGTGGAGAAAGAAACACATGAATCTGAGCAGTAGCAGTACTGTGTAAAACTCAGTCTGCCTCGTTTCTGCAGCAAGCTTGAGCTCCTACAGCTCTGCTGCAGCAGATCCACTCACATTTTGTCAAGCTGCTTGTTGACATCTTCATCATTCTCGTAGTCCTTGCACAGCTGGGTGACCAGAGCGCCGTACGTCAGCGTGAAGAGCTCTGAGTTCTAGGCAGAGGTAAAAAGCAGTTAGCACGAGCCAACATGGAAACTGACAGCACTGCTGCATCTACATCCAGCGCTGCTTCGAGTGGCCTGGAGAAGGGGAACAGAAAGCTGCCATCTCAGAGGTATTTGCTGTGCAGTAGGAGATCTCAGCTCTTATTTTGGCAAGGCAACTTCAGTCTCTTCAGACAGAGCAAAGCTCTTTCTGCCTGGAACAAGAGAGCACTCGAGCACTTTTGCTCTCTCCCTCTCTCCACACAGCAGCACTGCTATCAGCAGGCCACACAGCTGACCTGCAGAGGCAAACCAGGAAGCTGTTCTCACTCCACAGTCATTTTTAGCATGTTTTGTGAGCCGCTACTGAGCATCGCTCTGCCTTAACGAGGACACCCCCAGGTAGCTGGAATGACACCTCCAGGTCATCTCACACGTGGTTCTGACCAGCTCCAGGCAATAACATGCAGTTGCCAAGGACCTGAATTTATTTCAGTCAATGACCTGGAGGTGATGGGGCCTGCAGCTCAGATTGTGCCTCTTCTCTGCTTCAGAAACGCACTGCAAATTGGCAACATTGAGCAGACCTAATTTTTGGTCTTTTCAACAGGACAAAACGTTCTTGTCCATTCACAGATCTACTACATTCTGCTGCCAAGAAGCAGTGATGCTTATCTCAACCCTGGAAAGTTACAGAAGCACATAAATTATATGCTGAAATCAGCTCCTCAGACCCAGAAGAGGAAGAGCAAGGAGTGTTCCAGGTCAGGTCAGCAGACGCACTGTGCACTGCTGCTGGCTGTGCTGGACTAGGAGCTGCATTGCTTGCACTCTGCACAGATCTGCAGAGGACACAACAGGATCGTGTCTCCTTTCACAGCCATCACCACAGCTCCAGTGATTCACAGCACGTTTCCTTGGGAGCCATGAAGCAGATCAGTGATTACACGGCTGCAAAACAAAGGCTACAACAGCCTTCAGCTTTCCACAGAATCCAAAGCAAGCGTTCAGGAGCAAATAAGCTCATAATTCAACTTTCATTTCTGCTTTTGGTTTTAGCAATCAGAAATGTTAGAGAAAGTCTAATCTCAGATTAAAAGCCTATCACCTACCATGAGATGCATAGATGCAGAAGGTGAAATGAATGGCAAATACCAATACTACAGAATGAAAGCAGCAGGCAGGCAGAAAGGAAGGGAAAAGAGACAACATCAGAGTTAAGTGACAACACTGATCGCACGTCATTCCAAACAAGTTCACACCAAGCCGAGACACACAGGAGGAGCGGTGACTCCCAGACTGCAACACTCAACAAACAGAAACCAGGTTTGTTAGAAGAGACAGGGAATTCCATCTTGTCATTGTAACTCGTGAGGCCAACAGCAGCCAGCCAAGTGACTCCAAGAGTCCGAAAGGAGCCAGGCAGCTCCTGCTAATTTTGCTTCGTTTCAGAGCTGAAGAATTGACACAGACTTTGTGCTGCTTTGCCTTGCTTACAGCTCAGCCTTCGTCCTGGGAAGATAAAGCTTACTTAAGTGCTCAGTACTCAAGAATGACAAAGCGGAAGTCTCCTTGAGCTCTGCCGGCAGGGAAATTTGACAAACATGCAGAGAGGGGTCAACCATTTATAAGGATTTAAGCGATTTTAGTAAGGAGGGGCTGGAAGCTGGAGGGCGGGCGAGAGGTCCCGGCCGTTTGCGTGTAAAACGAAGCTCGCCCCACTGCTACCGGCCCCACAGCGCCCGGCGGGCACCTAAAACATTTCTAACGGCCTCCTCATTTCCGGGCAATCGAACGGAATCCGAGCGCCTCAAGCGTTCCCGTTAGCTGTGCTTTTAGCAGCGCGATGCACTGAGGAGCCCCGCGCCAAAGTGGCTGCGGCCTGCGCCGGGCCCGGCCCCTCCGGCACCCCCCGCCCCGGCCCGAAGCCGGAGCCCTTCGGGACGCTCCCGCCGGCGGCGCAGGGACCCGCGGGCCCCGCCAGGCCCCGCCGTTACCATTTTCTTGCTCTCGGTGCCGCGGCCGGCCTGGCGCGACATCCTGCCCGGCCCGCTGCCTCGCCCGGCCCGCCCTCCGGCACCGCGTCGCAAAGCATCACGGGATTCGTAGTCCGCGTCGTTTCGCCGCCCGCGTTGCGCGCCGCGCTCAGAACTACGCGCCCCGCAATGCAACTCGCTCGCTGAGTGCGCATGCGTCAGGTGGGGGGGTTGGGAGGGTCATCCTTCCCAGCATGCTCTGCATCACGTGACTACGAGGCGCCTACAAATCCCGTCGTGCGGCGCTGCTCCGCTGACTCTGCGCCCGGCAGGCGCTGGGGCGGCTGGGCAGCGGAGGGGAGCGCGCCGCTAGGGGGCGCGGCCGGGACTGTGTGGAGTTAGGCCGGCCCCCAATGGATGCTCGGCTCCGTGCAGGGCCCGTGGGCACCCAGCTGCCGGTAAGGAGCTCCCTGCGGCAGCAGTGATGTGCAATTAGGGTTGTTTTCGTTATTTTTTTCCGAATGAATAATTTTTATATCGGAAGGGAAATCCTTCGTGAAAGGGCCTCATCATTACAGGGGGTGAAGCTCTTGGCAGAGGTGGGCTGTGCTTTCTGCACTGAGCTGCTTATGCTTCACCTGCTGGAGCTGCTGTGAGTGATGAGCAGTGTTGGGGGCTCTGTGCCCCCCACTCGATTGCAGCCCCTCCAAGGACAACAAATCTGGAGGCGGTGCTGAGATTCTGCCTGGAGCCTTCAGCTTTTCTTTCTCTGTTTTTAACCCAGATGATGAAGTTCTGGGCTGTGCTGCCCCAGCCTGTTGTTATTCCTTGCATGAGTGCTTGCAGCTGGGCAGCAAGGAGCAGCAACACCAGAGGGACCCTGCAGGATGTGCCACCCCAGGGGCTGTTCTAAAAGCACTTCTCCTCCTTGGAATCGCAGTGCAGCCATGTCACCTGCACTGTGTGAGCAGCGGGCACTGGGTGCTGCCAAGTGCCAGCCATCACCTCGTGGTTTGTTTTGAGGGAGTGACAGCGTGAGAAAACCGCAAAGCAAACATCACTGGTGCAGTTGCCCATGGCTGCACGTGCTACTGGGTGTCACCAAGGCAGCCCTGTCCTGTTGCAGGGGAGCAATGGGGTTTTGCTAGAGCCAGGGGCTGCCCTGCCACTGTTTGCTTGGCCAACAGATGGCAATAGTAGATGTGGGGCAGAGGCCTCCTGGTGTTTCTGCTTTGGCTTTTAGCCCTAAAGGGCCACTGCTTGTCCTGCTGCAACATACCTTAGGTGCAAGAAGTCAGGCAGGTGGTGCCCTGAGCGTGGGGCTGTGCCAGCGCAGCCCGGCTGCTGCCTCTGCTGGAGCCCAGGGCAGTCCTGCAGCAGGGCTCTCCCTGGAGCCGGGTTGGCTGCACAGGGTGGCTCTGCCGGTTCCTGCTGCGGAGCAGCCCTGGCCAGGGGCTGTGTGCAGTGGGCTGGAAGCCAGAACGCAGCCGTGCCCTGCCAGCTGGCATAAATGGGTGGCAGCAACAGGGCATAGGAAGGGAGAATCCATACGGAGGGTCTGTTCGGGTTGGCTCACTCGCGGCCTCCCCTCGCTGTCGCGCACACGTGGCCCTTCCCACACCGCCATTCTCTTCCCGTTTCCCGTGGCCTGGGACATCTCTGGGACTCCGCTCTGGCTCAGGGCCGGGCTGCAGAGCGCTCCGCCCCGCCGGCAGCACGCAGCGGATGCCGGGATGGGGCTGATCCCGTCGGTCTGAGCCGAGCCATGCCGTGCCGAGCCGCCGTCCCGTGCGTCCCAACCCCGAGGGCTCCAGTCCCAGCGCATCGCAGCGCGGTGTCAGCGTGGCTCGGAACTGTGGCGGTGCTGCTGTGCACGGTGCTGAGCCCTGGATGGGTTGAGGCGCAGCCCTTTCCTTTCCGAGACCCAACGCTGCCCTGGCACCGCCGCCTGGAGGACCTGCTGGACCGGCTGACCCCCGCCGAGATGGTGCTGCAGGTGAGGGCACGTTGAGGGGAGGGGGCACAGCCCTCAACTCCTGCTCAGCGCCTGTGGCCCGCAGATGGCAAGGGGGGGAGCCCTGCAGAACGGCCCCGCACCCCCCATCCCACGCCTGGGCATCGCGCCCTACAACTGGAACACCGAGTGCCTGCGGGGCGATGCGGAGGCACCCGGCTGGGCCACGGCTTTTCCCCAGGCGCTGGGGTTGGCTGCTGCCTTCAGGTATGAGGGCTGGTGGTGCCCGTTGTGCAGTGGAGCCCACACACACCGGCATGCCCTGACACCCCTGTGCTGTCCCTGCAGCCCTGAGCTCGTGTACCGAGTGGCCAACGCCACGGCCACCGAAGTGCGTGCCAAGCACAACTCCTTCATCGCTGCCGGCCGCTACGATGACCACACGGGGCTCAGCTGCTTCAGTCCTGTGCTCAACATCATGAGGCACCCGCTGTGGGGCAGGAATCAGGTGCCGGCATGGAGGTGGGGTCAGGGTGGGATCCAGCCCCACAGGACCGTGCTGTAGCATCCTGAGGATGGCAGCAGCTCTGAATGAGGGCCGTGGGGGTGGGAGGTCTGCGGAAGCGCTGTGACCCTGCATCCCTCTGCTGCACCTCCAGGAGACGTACGGGGAGGATCCGTACCTGACTGCAGAGCTGGCCACGAGCTTTGTGCAGGGCCTGCAGGGTCAGCACCCCCGCTACATCAAGGCCAGTGCTGGCTGCAAGCACTTCAGCGTGCACGGTGGCCCTGAGAACATCCCTGTGTCCAGGCTCAGCTTTGATGCCCAGGTGAGCGCGGCGGGGGCACGGGGCAGTGGGTGCCCCCCGAGTGCTGATGTTTCTGCCACCGTGTGCACAGGTGCTGGAGCGGGACTGGCGCACCACCTTCCTGCCCCAGTTCCAGGCATGTGTGCGTGCCGGGTCCTACAGCTTCATGTGCAGCTACAATAGGTAACTGAGCACGAGGGGCTCAAGGGGGGGCGCGTGGCACTGCCCCTCTCCCCAGCTGCACTGTCCCCGCTCCAACAGGATCAATGGCGTCCCTGCCTGCGCCAACAAGAAGCTGCTGACGGACATCCTGAGGGGCGAGTGGGGCTTCGAGGGCTACGTGGTGAGTGACGAGGGGGCTGTGGAGCTCATCCTGCTGGGGCACCGCTACACACACACCTACCTGGAGACGGCCATTGGTGAGTGGATGGGATGGGAGTGAAATGGGTGCCGCACGGCCACGGCGAGCGTTTCTTTGTCTCCAATGTTGCAGCGTCGGTGAACGCCGGCCTCAACCTGGAGCTGTCCTACGGCATGAGGAACAACGTCTTCATGCACATCCCCAAGGCCTTGGCCATGGGCAACATCACACTGGAGGTCGGTGATGAGGAGCCCTGTGCCCCGATTGCCCCGTGCCCGAAGCGTGATTGAGATTTTGATGCTGGGGTTTTGGCAGATGCTGCGTGACCGCGTCCGGCCCCTGTTCTACACACGGCTACGGCTGGGGGAGTTCGACCCCCCGGCCATGAACCCTTACAACGCCCTGGAGCTGAGCGTGGTGCAGAGCCCTGAGCACCGCAACCTCTCACTGGAGGCAGCCATCAAGAGCTTCGTGCTGCTGAAGAACCAGCGGGACACGCTGCCGCTCCGCGAGCTGCATGGCAAACGCCTGGCGGTGAGACCTGGGCTGCTGCTCACTGGTGCATCTCTTTGTTGGCACGGAGCTGTGGGTGCCTGTCTTCACCCCTGTCCCCTCTGCAGGTGGTGGGTCCCTTTGCAGACAACCCCCGTGTGCTGTTTGGGGACTACGCACCGGTGCCGGAGCCACAGTACATCTACACACCACGGTGAGCCCCCGTCTGTCCTCAGCCCTGGGAGCGCCTCAGGTGCGCTCTGCCCCTCTCAGCCCTTCCCTGGGGTGATGGGGAGCTGCCCCCATGGTGTGCTGACCCAGTCGTGCCCCATGCAGGAGGGGGCTGCAAACACTGCCAGCCAACATCAGCTTTGCTGCGGGCTGCCGGGAGCCGCAGTGCCGGGATTACTCAAGGGATGAGGTGGAGGATGCGGTGCAGGGAGCTGATGTGGTGCTGGTGTGCCTGGGGACGGGTAGGTTGGAGCACGGGGCATGGATGCTGTCGTGTGGGGAACGTGGGGACTGGGTGCAGCGCGGTGTCCCTCGGCTTCCTGCACACAGGGGTAGATGTGGAGATGGAGGCAAGGGACCGCGAGCACCTGTCCCTGCCTGGACACCAGCTGCAGCTGCTGCAGGATGCTGTGCATGCAGGTAGGGCGCTGCACGTGGTCCGTGGGTAGGGGACACGGCACACGTCCCCCTCCAAGCCCCAAAGCAGCACCCACGGTGTGCTCATGGTGAAACCCCTCTCCTGAAGCTGCTGGGCACCCCGTCATCCTGCTGCTGTTCAATGCCGGGCCTCTGGATGTGAGCTGGGCACAGGAGCATGACGGCGTGGGGGCCATCCTGGCCTGCTTCTTTCCTGCCCAGGCCACCGGCCTGGCCATTGCCAGCATCCTGCTGGGCGAGCAGGGGGCCAGCCCTGCAGGCAGGCTGCCAGCCACATGGCCTGCAGGCATGCACCAGGTGAGGGCAGGACGCAGCTTCTCAGTGGCCGTGTGGGGTCGCCGGGGACCTTGCTCACACCTGATGGCCCTGCTGTGCCCATAGGTGCCCCCAATGGAGAACTACACCATGGAGGGTCGGACGTACCGCTACTACGGGCGGGAGGCTCCCCTCTACCCCTTTGGATACGGGCTGTCCTACACCACCTTCCACTACCGGGACCTGGTGCTGAGCCCCCCAGTGCTGCCCATCTGCACCAACCTCTCTGTGTCGGTGGTGCTGGAGAACACGGGGCCACGTGACAGTGAGGAGGTGAGCATGGCTGCTCCACGCATCCGTGGCCATTTGGGGGGCTCGGGTGAGGCTGGGGTCCCTCCTGCTGATCCCCTCCTTGCAGGTGGTGCAGCTGTACCTGCGCTGGGAGCAGCCGTCTGTGCCGGTGCCGCGCTGGCAGCTGGTGGCTTTCCGCCGCGTGGCCGTTCCTGCTGGTGGTGCCACCAAGCTGTCCTTCGTGGTGTTGGCTGCCCAGCGTGCCGTCTGGACCCAGCAGTGGCACCTGGAGCCCGGAGCCTTCACACTCTTTGCTGGTGGGCAGCAGCCAGAGCAGCAGATGCGGGCACCCTCGGAAGTGTTGAGCGCAAAGTTCAGTGTCACTGGGGCTGCCCGGGCACTGCACAGCTGTTAGAGGTGGGGATGGGTGTGAGGATGAGTCCTGGAGTGTGGGGAGCTGGAGGAAGGATGATGTGCAGTGGCTGTGCAGGACAGGGGGAGCACGGTGCTCTGCCTTGCAATAAAGTGCCCTCTGCTCTCCAGGAGGCTGTGTCCAGCCAGCATGCTGTGTGTGTGTCCTATGGGTGCTTGTAGCCACATGGTAGTGCCACCCCAGCACGCGCTTCGCCCCAGCTCAGAGCACCCAGAGCTGTTCTAGGGTCGGATCCAGCACTCAGATCAATTTCGTGCTGCATTTTTGCCCCCCAGCCCTCTCTCCTTGTCACCCCACGGCTGTGCAACCACTCTCCTTCCTGGGGACGGATCCAGTCCTGCTCTGCTCAGGGCTGGGGGGAGGTGCTCCCCCCTCGGTGCAGGGAATGTGCTGGAGCTGGCCCAGGCGGCTGGGCAGCTATAAATAGGGCTGGGGCACACGTGGGTCTGACGGCTGCGGGGCATGGGATGGGTGTGGGGCTGCAGCCACGTTTGAGGGGGGGGAGGGGGTGGGAGGCAGAGGGGTTTGGGATCTTCTGGGGATGGCATTGTGGGGAAACGATCCCCCCCCAAGCCCTGAGCCATGGGGCAGGAGGATGAGGTGGGGCATGCAGGGACCGTGTGAGGCAGCCCAGGCCCAGCATCATGACATCAGGGCACTAATTACAGATGCTGCCTGGGATAATTACAGAGCTGAGGCAGGGCAGGGCTCAGCCTGATGCAGGCCCATTTATCACCGGTCCCCACCAGGCATCGTTTTGCAGCAGCCCCATAGCAAGGAGCTCAGGGCACTGACCCTCATCCGCAGGATCTCGTAGTGATCAGGGTCAGCATTTTGGGGTTCAGCTCAGCCTTGGTATGCAGAGCTATGGGATGGGAGCAGCCTGGGGAGGGGACAAAGTCCTGGGGCTGGAGGAGGAGGTGTGAGGCAGAGGGGTCAGGATGGGGTGTCCTGCAGCACTTTGCTCAATGATGTCAGCCCTGCCAGCAGGGCTGTGTTTGCTGCTCTCCCATCCCCGTTTGCACCCATCCTGCCACAGTCACGGGGCAGTGCTGCTGCTGTAATTATCCTTCGATTTTGGGGGTGCTCAGCACCCTGCAGGCAGTAGGGCTGAGAGGTTGGGCTGAGGCACTGGAACAAACTGCAGGACTGGGGCTGGGTTGAAGGGGGACCTGTGGCAGCCCAATCTCATGGAGCAGGGCTGGGGGTCGAACCTTGGGCCGGGGGTGTGGGCAGCACAGAGGGCTTTGGGGAGTGCAGCCAAGCGGTGCAGCTCAGGGTGTGCAGTGCTTGTGATGAGCTCATTGATTTTTCCATGAGCTCGGCAGCAGTTCCCAGCATCCATGGGAACGGGGAGGGGGGGTTGGAGCCAGCACCCCCAGCAGCAGTCCTGTGCCTGCAGCAGAGCAATCGATGGCAGTGCTGCTGCTTGTAAGAGGCACTGAGTGGGGCTGGCACAGCTCTGCAGTGCTGCTGCCCTTGGCCCCTGCCCCACATTGCCCTGAGGGAGCGTGGACCCGCAGCGCTGCGGTGCTCTGGGTGATTGCAGGCTGTTCCTCAGTGCCACCCTGAGACTCGATGGGGCTTTGCCCCATCCCATCCCCTCGGGGCTGTGTGGCTGCTAGGAATGTGGGGAAAATCCCAGCTCTGAGCCAGGCCAGGAGCCCACGGGGTGCAGTCAGCGATGCCGAGAGAGGGGCACCCAGTTTTGATGTGGGTGGTCACACCTATGGCAGCACGGAGCAGGTCCCTGTTGGTGCCCTGTGCCCCCATCCCTGCTGGTTCCAGCCCAAGGGTGTGCCAAGCTGCGTGTCCCCATCTGATCTATGCACAGAGGTGACTCCCAGACCCGGCCAGCCTCCCTCACCCCTCTGTCAGCTCTGGGCCTGCCTGCTCCCATCCCTGAGTCAGAAGAACAGAGGGCAGGGGTTTGGGGAACCTGTTTGGCAGGAGAAGGGATGGCAGGGGATCTCCTGGCCTTGTGGTGACATCATTCCCAAAACAGGCACCTCTGACAGGGCGATGCCTGCAGGAACCTGAACTGTGCATCACTGCATCCCCCTGCACCCAAAGGTGCTGCGGCCCCGTGGGTCGCCCCTGTTGTTGGGGTGGGATGCAGAGTGGCCCGGTGCAGTGGTGCATCGACATCACCCTGTGGTGCAGAGCAGCTGCTGGCGGTGCTGGGGGCTTCAGGAGGCAGAGGGATGGGGGTGAGGCCCACAGATGGTGGAGACGGAGCTCTGGGATGGAAATCAGCGTCCCTTTGGGCTGGCGGGGACGGGGCTGCTGACCCAGATGGCGGTGGCTGTGCAGGCAGGGCAGGTTCTGCCTTCAGGTTCATACGCGCTGGGGACCGGCTCCAGGTGATGCTGAGAGAGGTGAGCGTGGTTGTGAGAACCGGCATTTGGGAGAAAACGAGAAAGGATGGAGGTGGGAGAACGCGGGGCTGAGGATCGGCCTCAACACCGGCAGCGGTGCCCGGAGCGGTGATGTCGGGCGGAGCATCTCGGCTCCATCCCATCCCACCCCATCGGTGCCGGCAGGCGCGGGGCCGGGGCGGGGAGCTCCGAGATTCCTCCCCCGCGGGCCGGGGGGAGCCGGGGCGGCGCGGCGCGGCACAGCTCGGAACGGCCCGGCCCCCTGCACCGCCCCGCGCCATGGAGAGCGACCGCGCCGGGCGGGAGCCCCAACGCCGAGCTGCGCCCGGTACGGCTGCGGGGAGCGGGCCGGGTGCGGGATGCGGGCCCGGGGAGGGCGGGGGTGCGGGATGCGGCTCTGCGGAAGGGGGGGGGGGGGGGTGGTGGTGATGGCCCAGGGCCGCAGCGCGGTGCGGGTGGGGACGCGGGATGCGGCCTCGGTGCTCCGGAGCCGTAGGGGCGGTGTCCGCAAAGCCGAGAAGGTGCGGTGCGGGGCCGGGCGGTGGTTGGGGCCGAGGGGGGTGCGGGGAGCGGAGGGGCCGCCCGCAACGCGGGGCCGGGAGCGGACAAAGCTCGGCGGCGCGGGGCCGCCCCTCCATTTTGGCGGAGGAGAGGAAGAAGGGGGAGGGGAAGGGGGGGAGCGCAGCCCCCGGCCCCGCGGCGCGATGGAGCCCGTGCCCTTGGGGAGCCCTCCCCGGCGGGGTGCGGGGCATCGTCCCCATCCGCTGCTCTCCGCTCCGCACGGAGCGCTGCGAGGCGGTGCGGGGCGGGGGCGGCCCGGGCGGGGCTGAGCGGCGCCCGTCGGTGCCCTCCCGGTGCCCCGGGCTGAACTCCGGTGCGATCGGGCAGAGGGCGGCGGTCCCGCTTTGCTCCGGGCCGTTCTCCGGCTCTCCCGGCCCCGAGCGGCGCTTTGTGGCACCGCTTCCACCGACGGAGGAAGAGGAGAAGCTCTCCGCTCTCCGCTCTCCGCTCTCCCCTCCTCTCCCCTCCCCCCCAACCCCCCCCGGCCCCGCGCAGCGCCGCGCTGTGATTCATCGGGGCGGGGGAGGGCCGCGTGCCGGCCCGGTGCCGTGCGGCTGTTATCGGGGCGCGCAGAGCCGCATGCCCGCTCCGAGCCGCTCTCGCCCTACAGCGCTGCAGACATTTTGTCTGCGTCCCACCCGCTGCTCCTCCATCCGCAGCACCGCCGAGCATCGCTGCGCCTTTCGGTTCCCAGCTTCGCTTCGGCTGCCGCCCCAAAGCGCGGCCCGTTGGCGTCGGAGCTTCCCGGGGATGAGGCCGCCCTCGGCTGCGTGCAGAGGAAGCTCCGCTCGGCGCACGGATCCTCCTGCAGAGCGGAGAGCTGCTGGCTGAAGCACATCCTCACCCCTCGGTCGGGTGACCCGAGCGTGCGTTCCGTGCCTCACCCTACAGCAGTCCCAGACACAGTGGGTTCCCCTTTCCTGGCCACCAGCGGGATGCAGAACCAGCACGCCGCAGAGCAGGGCGCAGGGCAGGCACAGACGGTGCTTATTTGGGTCCCGTCGGGCTCTCCTGGCACGGGGCAGCAGGGGGTGCGGGGCAGCTGATCGCCTGCCAGCACCGGCGTTGGGAGCAGGGAGAGCCTGATGGAACCAACGTGATGTGACGTGTGGAGCAGCGATGTGACAGTCACGGTCGCGTGGTGCCACGTCCAAAATAGTTGGTATGGCTCTCAGCTGGCTGTGAGCAGGGCTGGGGACCGAACAGTGCGGCGAGGGCGGCCTCGTGGGATCCCACAGAGCAGCCGGTAGGTGCCCACCTAATAGAGGAGCTGCATTTTGGAGGTGCTCTCCACAAACCCTGCCCCCAGCAGAGCTCAGCCCCTTGCCCTGCCTGCAGTGCTGCTTCCCGGTGCGGTGCTGGCTGCTGTGGGTCACCCCAAGGACGTGGGCACCTCCTGTCGCTGCTCTGCGCTGCGCAGACGGATGGCAGTCAGGTGCTGCCCACACCCCGGCCCTGTGCCCTGTGTCTGGGGTGATGGAGCCCAGGAGCAGCCTGAGCACGTTCTGCTTTCCTCTGGGTATATTTTAAACCCTGGAAACCCCCCAGCTGTGGCCACAAGATCCCATCTCCCAAGTTCCCCTTGTTGCTCTCCAGTTCCCCACATCCCTGTTGGTCACAGCGCCCCTGCTCCCTGAGTCTCCGTGTCCCAGAGCAGGGCTGGCCCTAGGCAGGAGCAGAGACCCCTGGATAGGGACGTGCAGGGGATGCTCACTGTCCCCACCACTCAGGGATGTGTGATGCTGCACATTCCCAGGAGCCAAGTGGGAGTGGGCACAGCACGGTGCTGTGGAATGGAGGGGAAAGGGTCTCTGTGCACCCTTGTGAATGCCACAGGGCTCTGGTGGCCTCGGCAGCCCCTGTCCCTGTCGAATACCCATACCTGCTCCCTGCAGGTGGCACTGGGAGCTGATGGGGACACAGAGCAGCTCTGGAGGCTCAGCCTTCACCATCTGTTTGCGAGGCTGGTGGTGCTGCTATCAAGATGGGGACACAACTGGAGAGGGGGCATGAGTCCCCCAAGGACATGTGTGTATCCTCACCAGGCCCTGTAGAGCCATCGGTGGCTTTGGGGCTGAGGTTTGCACCGAGATCTCATCCCTGGGCACCACACAAGCTATCCCCCACCCCAGCCAGGGACGTGTGCCCTGGGGTGGTGGTGGCCAAGCAGCCTGGATCTGTGGTCCCAGTGCTGGGACACCATGGATGAGCTGCACTGCACCCACCTCCCTGTCTCAGATTGGGCTCAGCCCCATCCGGTGTTCCAGCAGCCAGAACCTTTGTGCCAAAATGGACAACCTGGGGATGCTGCGGTGCGGCTGGCCGCTCAGCGGGTATGTGAGGATAAATTGGGGGGAGCCGAGGTGAAGGTGCTGTGCAGCCCCCCCTGCCGCCCCGCTGGGAAGCCCCCCAGGGCCTCGCTGCAGTGCTGGGCTCAGGCTGCTCGCCTTCTCCAACCCCCCGGGGTTGTGATGTGCTCTCGCTTCATCGCACCGGGAATTGCCTCCGCCTGGCTGAGCAGCGCTGGCCGCGTGCCGGGCAGGAGGTGCCGGTGGCACTCGGTGGCACATGGGTGTGCTGGTGGCACAGGGACCCACGAGAGGAGCCAGGTGGGCTCCGGCACCACAGCACTCTTCCAGCAGGGCCGGCTGGAGGCACAGCACCTCACCCCACGGCCATCCCAGCATCCCACTGAGGTCACACTGCTCTGCGCACAGCGATGTCTCCTCTGCGGGACAGCAGGGCTGGGGGCTGTGGGATGCAGTGTTTGGGGCTGGGAGCTGATCCCCTCTGGAATGCCCCAGCGTTGGGTTTCAGGGCAGCTGCTGTGCTGCGGCAGCGACAGGGACAGATGGCGCAGGGCCGCTCCTGGGCTGTGGCTTTTGGGGTTTGTGGCCGTGCCCCACGGCGCTGGGTGCTGCTGTCCCCGTGGCCATTGGGGCGGGACGGATCCTGCCCATGGGCTGCGTGGCAGCTCCGTGCCCTGTGGCGATGGGTGGCTGTAGGGACTCGGTGCTGCTCCTCACGCTGCAAGGATGGGGTGGGATGTCCATCTGCTGCGTGGTGTCAGCCTGAGCGGTGTCCCGGCTCAGCTGGTGGCCCCGTGGGCTGCATTGCTGCAGTGCCTGTGGGTGGGAGCGGGGAGGGGTGGGAGCCCTTGTCTTTTCTGTGGCTGTGCTGAGGCTGTGGGTGTGTGGGAGCAGGGGACAACCTCCTTCCTGCAGCACAAATAGCCGGAAAGCAGTAGGAGGGCTGATCCTGTGCTGAGCCCATCCGAGGAGCGATGCGCCCACGGGGGGGGTCGTGGTTGGGTGCAGTCCCCCATGCGGTGCAGCTCAGCGCTGTCCCCGTGCTCGTCCAGCTACGGTGTGAAGGAGCGGCGCCGGCCGTGTTTGCACAGCCCATACTTTGCCCCTCTCTGAAGATTGCAGAGAGTTCCACAAACACGGCTGAGCGGTGCGGGACGTCGCCCCGTGGGGAGGATCACACACTTGGGGCCATGGGTCCCCGGTGTCCTCACTGCAGTCAGAGCTGGGGCCACACGCATAGCAGTGCCAGTGTTGGTGGTGCCCATGGGGCTGGGCTGGGCAGAAGCACCGACCCTTCCTGCTGCACAGGAATCAGGGCTGTGATCCTAAATGGAGCACTTGCATGGGGCAGACAGTCTGAGCAGCATGCTGCTCTCCGCAGGGTGCTCTGGCTGCACTGCACCCTGCACGGGTCACCCCCACACGGGTCACCGCTCAGTGCCAGTGGTCCATTTGGGTCCACGCACAACGGAGCAGGCTCTGAGCAGACTCTCAGCCCCACACGCTCGGGGAGGAGTTGTTTTCTCTCAGCGGCGGCGGCGGCCTCGTGTGCATTCCTGGGCCATGAGTTCATGGCTGTGTGCGGGGACACGCACCGTGGTGTGACGTCAGGCCGGCAGCCCGCGCCCATCCTGCACCCATCTTGAGCCCATCCAATACAGCAGAAGCGCCCTGCATCCTCCAGGAAGTGCCTGCCCCCCTCCCCTCCCCCCCAGTGCCTGGTGTGGGGTTTTCCCCTGGAGTGGGGCAGCAGCTGTTGGGGAAGAAGGGAGTTTTGTGGCGGCGGTGCCTGGCAGAGCCGTGTCCGTGTGCTCTGTGCGTTGTGCACACAGCACCTGGCGTGGGGCTGCATGGTGACCCCCCCCCCCCCCCCCGGGTGGTGGCGGCAGCGAAGGCCCCACTGGTGATCCACTGTGCTCTGTGTTGCAGGGAAGACACCGTCCCCGATGGGAGACAGCGTGCTGCCCCCCCCCCTTGGGGACACCGTGCATGGAGACAGCCCCCCACAGTGTGACCGACCCGTCCTCCCCGCTGCGACCCCCTCCCCAATGGCCACCCCCCCACCAGGACAGCTCTGCCCTGTTCCCGCAGCCGTGACCCCCCCAGGACAGCCCATGTCCCCCATCCCTGCAGCTGTGGCTCCCTCAGCAGAGAGCGTCCCACCCTGGGGTGACAAGACCCCCCCTGCACACCCCCATCCTCGCACTACAGAGCAACCCAAAGAAGAGGCATCACGCAGCACCGCTGGCCAGCCGCCGCCTGTCCCCACTGCCCCGTGCCCAGCGGAGATGCTGCCCCATGGGAGCACCACCGTGGCCCCCACTGCTGGCAAAGGGGCACCCTCCGATGCCAAGAGTCCCCTGGGAAGCACAGCCCAGCCCCCCAAGGACGTGCCCCCCAAGGACACACCCTCCAAGGACATTCCCCGCAAGGATATGCCCTCCCAGGATGTCCCCTCTAAGGATGCATCCCCCAAGGACACACCTTCCAAGGATGCCCCCCCCAAGGGTGACCGTGCCACTCCAGCTGCCGCATCGCCATCTTCAGCTGCCAGCCCCAGGCCCAAGCAAGGTGGGTGTTCTGGAGAAGGGAGAAGGGGGTCTGCCTCACTGCTCACGTGGGGCCCCTCGTGTCCCCCTGTTCTGGGGTGCAGTTTGTTTTGCTCTGACTGTGTCTCCCTGCAGCAGATGCTCAGAAGGCCCAGGCACGGCACAGGCAGGCGAAGGAGCGGCGAGAGGAGCGGGCCAAGTACCTGGGTGAGGAGTGGGGCTGGGAGGGAAAGTGGATGTGAAGGGGCGGGCGGGAGAGCTAAGGAGCTTGGCTGGGTCATGGCAATCCCATTAGCTGCTATTAGTGCAAGCGCTGCACTTGCAGGTTTATCCCCCCTGGGCACGCTGCACAACGTGGGGGTTCCCCAGGCCCACGGCATCCCACATCTGGGTGGGTTCCAGCAGGCAGTGATGTGTGGGGCTGTGGATGTGTGGGGCTGCACAGCCCCCGCGCTGCCCATGGGGCCCCCTCGTCCCCGCGCTCTTTCCACCCTCATTCCCCCATTGTTTCCCTGAGCGGCTCCGCGGGCTCCCGGCTCCCTTTTGTCCTCTCCCTAACTCCTCCCTGCCACCACGCTGGTTGCAATGCTGCCGGCCCCATGCGCCCGGGGAACCCTCAACCCTCAGCCCCATGCCACTGCCACGCATCCCCACCACGGCCGTGGGGCTCTCCGTGTACTTGGGGCGCTGCATCCCCCCGGCCGGGCTGTGACCCCTCCACGTGGGCTCCCCCCGGCAGCGGCCAAGCGGGCGCTGTGGTTGGAGAAGGAGGAGAAGGCCAAAGTGCTGCGGGAGCGGCAGCTGGAGGAGCGCCGGCGGCGGCTGGAGGAGCAGCGGCTGCGGGCAGAGAAGCGCCGTGCGGTGCTGGAGGAGCGGCAGCGGCAAAAGCTGGAGAAGAACAAGGTGGGGAGGGGATGGGAACGCTCCCCATGGGGTCTCCAGCAGCACACCTGGGGGTCCTCGGGCACATCTGTGTTGCCCTAGGGTGGGCGTCGCGGCCCCATCGCCCTCTGAAGGTCCCCATCTCTGAGCCCGTCCCTCTCCCGGACAGGAGCGCTACGAGGCGGCCATCCAGCGCTCGGCCAAGAAGACGTGGGCAGAGATCCGGCAGCAGCGGTGGTCGTGGGCAGGGGCCCTGCACCAAGGTTCTGCCGCGCACAAGGATGGTGAGTGCACGAGGACGGGGCTGAAGGGATGGCAAACGCAGCGCCTGCAGTGCTGCCCTGCCGCCACGTCGCTCTGCTGCCCCTCGTGCTGTGGCCCAACGGGACCCCACGGCTCCTCCCTGTTCCCGTGGCACTGCGTCCCCTGGGCTGTGCTGCTTGTGCCCATCTGCGGTCACTGCGTTGCGTGGGGCGAGTGACGTTTGGGCTTGGAGCCGCGCGAAGGCATCGCCGTGTTGTTGGTGGCGTTAGGCTGCGTGTTGTGGTGCGTCCCCACGTCACCCGGCTGCACGTGGGGTGGCTCTTGGTGCCAACGTGGGGGTGAGCAGGGCTGCGTGCTCCCGGTGCGCGTGGCTGGGCCGTGCGGGATGCTCAGTGTGGGGCTCCTCTCCGTGGGGACTGTGCTGGGGGTGCACCCTGGCTGCCGAGGGGACGGGGCTGTGCTGTGGTGGATGGGCAGCGTTGTGTCCCCACGCCCTGAGTGCTTCGTGCTGTGGGGTGGCTGCGTGTGTGGCGCTGGGTGTTGGCGGTGCACGGTCAGGATGCACGCAGGCGCTTTGTGCCCCTCTGTGAGTCGTGGAGCGTTCGGGGACAGATGCACTTCTGCTGTATGGGGCTCCCTGCCACTTCCGTGGAGGTGTCCCCAAACCTGGCTGCTGCCTCCTCCATCGGTGGGCTCTGGCTGCCCGCCAAGGGCTGAGGGCTCTGCTTTCCTGCTGCCCCCCACCCCATGTTGCTGTAGGGTCCTGGTGTGAGCACCATCCTGTGTCCGTCTGCCCCTGAGCCACTGAAGTCCCCTGGCTCTAGGACTGCATTTTGGGGACACCATGGAGGCAGTGCCGTGCTCCCCAGAGCTGAGATCCTTGCATGCCCCCATATGACACAGGCACTGTGCCACACAGCCCATCCCGACCACCAGTGTGTACCATGTCCTCCCACTGCCCTGCAGCCCCACTGCCCCACATCAGTGCATGCTGCATGCAAGGAGCAGCCCCCGCCCCGGTCTGTAATGCCCTGTGTCTTTTCCCTCCTCCAGGTGCGAGCCGCTGCTCAGTGTCTGCCGTAAACCTCCCCAAACACGTCGACTCTATAATCAACAAGCGGCTCTCCAAATCCTCTGCCACCCTCTGGAATTCTCCCAGTAGAAGTAAGAGCCCTTTGCATGGCCCTGCAGTGCAGGGGGGCACAGCTCAGCCCCCACCCCACGTAGGGACCCCCCAGCCCCTGCTGTGCCTTTGCACAGTGCCCACGGAGAGGAGGAGCTGTGTGCTGTTTGCTTTGGAGGAGGCTGGAGCTTTGGAGGAGGCTGGTGCCAGCTCCTTGCCCGGCCACAGAGAGCAGCTGGGAGGTGGAGGGAGCCAGGATGGCACTGGGAGCCCTATGGCTTCTGGCCAGGGCTGCAAGATGCATCTCGCACCACCTCTGCAGGGCTGGTGCTCACTGTGACACCTCGGAGTGCCTTGAGGCTGCTGTTGGGTGCAGCACTGGGTGCCCCTCAGGGGTTGTGGGTGCAGTGCTGGGTGCCATGAGGTCGCTCAGGTCCGGGCGAGCTGCCGGAGCCGTGGGGCTGCGTGCTGTTGTGCTGCTGAGTTGCCTGGTGATGGGCGTGCGCCGGATGGTATAAATAGATGGAGCAGCTGATGCGGGCAGCTCTGACGGCCTCATGCTGGGGCTCAGCCAGGGGGGGCACACGGGGCTGTGCTGAGCAGCCAGCGCCTGGGCTGGTGCTGGACACAGCGCCCAGTGTTGCTCCAGTCTCTGTTTTGTCCCCTCCCAGCAGCAGAGCGGGGTACTGCGTTATTTTGATGGCGAGGGGCACAGGGTTGCTGTCTTTGTGGTGCTGTCCACGTGGTCGTGGGGTGTTTGGTGCCAGCAGTGCAATGCAGATGGCAGTGACCCCGTGCCCAGCTGGGCTAGCAGCATGCCTGGGGGCCACCATCCCCTGGGAGCCACGAGCCCAGCCCAGCTCCTGTGACTGCGTGGTGGCCTCAGCCCCTCTCCCTTGGTGCAGGGGCACACAGTGGCTGCCCTGCAATGCGCCGGGGGCTCAGTGTCACTGGCACAGGGTGCATGGAACACTGCTGTGGGCACATGTTGTCGTCCTGCCTCAGTGCTGTCTGTGTGCCACGTGTGGTGCCTTGGCTCTCAGTGCCAGAAGTGGGGATCTGGAAGCCCTGGGGCTTGAGCAGAGGGATGGTGCCAGTGCTGCAGGGCTCAGAAGAGTGCTAAGGGCTCTTCTCCTTCTGCAGACCGCAGCCTGCAGCTGAGCCCCTGGGAGAGCAGCATAGTGGACCGGCTGATGACACCCACGCTGTCCTTCCTGGCACGCAGCCGCAGCGCCGTGACACTGGCCGGGAATGGCAAGGAGCAGGGTGAGCATGGGGGGCACGGAACTGCGTGGGGCAGGGGGTTGGGAGCGCTCCATGGTGGGAGCCCACAGCCACCGGCCCCATCCCCACAGTGCCCGTGTGCCCCCGCTCGGCCTCTGCCAGCCCCCTCAGCCCCTGCCACAACCACCGCCTGCCGCACCGCTGCTGGGAGCGGCGGAGGGGCACTGCTGGCAGCCCCGATGTGACACCGCGTCGCCGTGCCGAGTCCTCACCGGTGAGTGCCACCTTCTGCTGGACACGCCGTGCCCGACTCCCGGCCAAGCCCAGCGGTGTGGTACTGATGCTCTCTCTCTATGGTTGGCACAGAAGAAGAAGGAGAAGAAGGAGAAGGAGCGGGAGAATGCCAAGGAACGCAGTGCGCTGTCCCGCGAGCGCAGCCTCAAGAAGCGGCAGTCACTGCCTGGCGCACAGCCCCGGCTCCTGCCCACATCTGACAGCAGGTTGGGACCTGGCACTGCACGCTGCCCAGCCCCAGGGCTATGGGGACCCTGCTAATATCTCTTCTTGCTCTGCTTGCAGCCCCGGCCCCAAGAACCGTCCCTCATCCCCAGCCACCCCCAAAACCCGCCCAGCATCCCCCAGCCCAGCTCTGGCCTCACCCCACAAGCCGCCCCTGCCCCGCAGTGCCCACTCCTCCCCCAAGGTGCGGGCCAGGGCGCGGGATGAGCGGGGCGAGCAGGATGGCCAGGCCAAGGGGCGCGAGAGGAAGGAAGAGGAGAAGGGCCCAGCCACCCCCGAGCCTCCCAGGGTTCCCACGGAGCCGGCAGCAGGTAGGTACATGGTGGTTAGGAGTCAGGAGGAGTGGGAGCGGCACTGATGCTGCTCACATCCCACAGCCCCCTCGGCTCCCGCAGCCCACAGCCCCCCCAGCAGACCCTCGGCCGGCACTACGGACCGGGAGGAGGCCGCCCGACTGCTGGCAGAGAAGCGACGCCAGGCCCGCGAGCAGCGGGAGCGCGAGGAACGGGAGCGCCGGGAGCAGGAGGAGCAGGAGAGGTGAGTGCGCAACCATGGACCTCACCCGGGCCCCGGTGCCCCCCCACCTCACTGAGGGCCCCTTCCGTCCCCACAGGCAGATGCAAGAGGAGAGGGCACGGCAGGCAGCGGAGGAGCAGAGCCGCAGGGAGGCCCTGGCACGGCAGCGGGAGGAGGAGCGGCAGCTGCAGGAGGAGCGCGAGGCCCAGGAGAAGGCACGGGCAGAACGGGAGGAGACGGAGCGGCTGCAGAGACAGGTGTGAGGCAGGGGGGAGAAGGAGGGATGGGGGCAAGGATGGGATGTGGGATGAGGTGAAGCCTGTCCCCACCGTTCCGTCTTCACCTGTCCCTGCTGTCCTTGCAGAGAGAAGAGGCTGAGGCGAAGGCACGCGAAGAGGCTGAGCGGCAGCGCCTGGAACGGGAGAAGCATTTCCAGCGTGAGGAGCAGGAGCGGCTGGAGAGAAAGAAGGTAAGGGCTGGGGGCACTGCTGGGTGCGTTTCATGCTGGGGGGTGCCCAGAGCATGGCGCAGGTCCTGCTGGGGAGGGCTGCATCAGCCCCTGTCTGCCCCGCAGCGCCTGGAGGAGATCATGAAGCGGACGCGCAAATCGGATGCAGCAGATGCCAAGGTGGGTGCCTGTCCTGCACTCCCTGCCCTGAGCTGCCTGGGGACAGCAGGCACCGTGGAGCCCTCACTGCTCTCCTTTCCCTGCAGAAGAAGGAAGACAAGAAGATAGTGAACGGGAAAGCAGTTGAGCAGGAGCACAGCACAGGTACACAGCTCCCTCCTGCTTCAGTACTGGAAGTCCCCGGAGCCCCTGCCCCCTTCCTGCTCCCTGAGCCTTGGGGCTGAGTGGGGCTCTGCTCGTGTCTCCAGGTGGCGAGAAGAGAGCAGGGCCGATGCCAAAGGCAGAGGAGCTGCCGGAGACGGAAACACCGAGTGCAGGGACGCTGGGGACACTGAAGGGCCCGGCAGGCGAGGGGCTGCAGCCCAGGTGAGCACAGGGGTGGAAAGGGGGCTGCAGGCTGGCAGGACCCCAACTCAACCCAACCCATTGCCCCACAGTTCTCCAGCCAAGGATGTGGCAGCCCCAGTTGTGAATGGCGTGCAGCCCAGCAAGCATGAAAACGGCTTCTCAGGCACCGAGGGCTCCTCAGAGCTGCTGGAGCTTTCCCACCACGGTGGCAGCCCCAGCAGCATCATCCCGTTCGGCGACAAGGAGCCCTTCCTCAAGCAGGCAGTGGTCAAACCCCCCCAGGTCACAGGTGAGGGGCAGGGGAGCCGATTTGGAGCAGGGGGCGATGACACCTCAGCTCTGATGGTAGCTCCTGTGCCCACAGAGGTGCTGTGAGGCCCGGCCCTGGCTGATGTCCCCACGGAGCACCGCGCAGACCCATAGCTGTTGTCAGAAGGAAACACCTCGCTGCTCTCCTCCGCCCACCTGGCCATGCCACGAGGAGCCCAGGCAGCACGAGGCTCCAACATGGCAGCCGCCAGCCCTGAGCCCACACCGGGGCCTCCTGGTTTCTCAGTTGTTTTTATTTCATTTTGTTCTTTTTTTTAAAAAAAAAAAACAAAAACAAAACCAAACAACCATGCACCTTATCAGCCTGCCGCCCCTGCCCACCGCCCGCCCGAGCCACCCCAGACGTGTGCTGTCATACTGTGGTTATTTAATTCGCTGGGTACAATGTATGTGAATACTGTAAATAGCGCTCGGCCGACAGCGGGGGGGCTCGGGGCCGCCCGTCCCCTTTGTCCCCACGCATGTCTGCGTGCACCCGGGGCTGGGCCGGGCCCACGCTGCTCTCCGTGCCGTTGTGACAGTGTTATGCATCCGGACAACCTCTACGAACAATAAAAGTGGACAACCACGCAACGCCTCGCCTCCTTGCGGCCCGGGGGTGGGGTGGGCGGCGGGGAGGGGCGGCCCCTCAGGGCAGGGCGCGAACCCACAGCTTCGGCACCGCCGCCATTTCCCGGCCTGCCTTCCCGCCGGAAGCTGCGCCCTCTTGGTGGCGTGAGGGGCGGGCAAGGGGGGAAGCGGAAGTGACGTCACGTTCCCGCGCAGGGTTCGCTGGGATATGTAGTTTATTCCGCCCCGCTAGCGGTGGAGCACCGTAGGGGTTCGGACTGCGCCTCCCGGCAGCCTCTGCGTGCGGGCGGCGGGCGGGCGCGAAGCGGAAGTGCGTGAGGAGGAGGTGGAGGCGCCTGGCCGCTGAGGAGGCCGCAGGCGGAGTTGGGTCCGGTGAGTGCCGCGGGCCCAACGTGGCGCCGCCCTTCCCTCGCTCCGTCGTCGGCCCCTTCCCCTCTTTCTCCTCCCGTCCCGCGGGCACGACGCGCACGGGCCGTTCTCGTTCTCCCCTCCTGAGCCGGGCCTTACTCGCCGCCCCTCTCCTCCCTCCCCCCCCAATCCCGGGCCTCACCGCGGCGCCCCCCCCCTCCCCCCCATCCCAGCTCCGGGCCCCACGTGCTGCCCGCGGAGCCCCGGGCTGTGCTCAGGGCGCTCCCGGAGATCTCCGGAACCCTCGTGCCCGGGCTGGGCCCCGCGCCGCCTCCTGGCGGCACACGGCCGGTTGGGGCCGTTCCAGGCACAGGCCTTTCCGCGGCGCCTCATCCGGGCTCCTCGACCCGGGGTTTCCCGTTTTCCGCCCGAGCTTTGCCTGTAGCCGGCCTCTGGGCGCTTTCTCCCATCATCGGGATCGCCCCGCGGGCGGATGGGCCCGGGGGGGAGGAAGGGAATGGGCAGCGCTCGGAGCCCTTCAGCGCTGACTGCACGGTGGGTTTGGTAGACGGAGGGGTTCTGTGGAGTTGGGTGATGCCGTGCCGTGGCTCTGGGCACAGAAACACGCGTGTGCCTCGAATCGCCTTTTTCTCTAATTTGAGAGTGATCCTAACTTTATTTGCTTGGGAGAGGTTAATTCCAGACTCCTTTAAAGATATTTTGAAATCTCCACAGGATAATTAGTGCTGTAATTGTCTCCTGTACAGCTTTCTAAATACGTGTGATGCAGTAAGTTCAGGAGAAGGGCTGTTTGGCACCTTGAGAGGTGCAGGGTGAGCTGTTTGCCACACGGGGTGTGCCGGGTTAGGGATTGCACAGTGCTTCCTCCTTGCCCATCTGGCAGGAGTGCTCCTCTTTTAGGCTGGGTGTAAGAGAAGTGCTTGTCTTGGTGTGCCATAATGCATCTCACCCAAATGTGCGTTATTGAAGAGAGCAGTATGCCCAATTGCTTGGGAAGCATTGTAGATGTACATTAGCTGAATGTGGGGAAGGAGGAGGGCCTCTGTCAACTGCTGCTTCAGCGTTGTGTGCATGAGGCTGCTGGGTCACTCAGCAAGCTTCCCAAAGAGCACGGCCAGCTCGATCACCCAATTACTCTCTGCAAGGAACTCCTGCAATATTCCTTCCCTCTAGTAGCGAGGGCAGATCGTTAATTAATTTAATTTATGGGAAGGCCGATGTGAAACTGTAGGTCTGTTTCCAATGTGTCTTTTGCTTTTTGCTCCTGGCAAGTGCTGTGGCTGAGGAGGACTTCTGCGTGGGTGTTGGTTGTGGAACCTGATTTCCGTTTGTTTGAGAAGCGTTGGCTTTTGGAAATTGCAAATTGCCTTCAAGGGAGTGCGTTGTAGAGGCTGGAAAAATGGTTACTGAGGCATAGCAGAGTGTTTGGAGGAACTCAGCAGTTCTGAATGCTCGCTCTGTCGCTTTGCAGGGGCTTAGCACAGTGAGGCAGCAGCTGGCTTTGTGAGCTGTGTTACTTGTTAGGCCATCTAACTGTAGATAAAGTCAGGTAGTTAGCAAAGAAAGCTGTCAAAAATTCAGGCTTTTGTGATCCAGAGTACTTGGCAGGCTCCAGGGCCTTGTGATCATATCTGATTTCCTGTTGGATTCTTATATTTTAGTTTCACATTCTCCTTAGTGTGAACTTCTTGTTTCAGCTAAATTAGGAGTAGGGAGAGGCATGTATAACAAATTAGTTTTCTGAGTTACCTCAGAAGGCCTTAAATTAGCACAGCCTGCTAAAAACGTAGCTCTCAAGGCGGTACTCTAGCAGGTAGGCCTCAGTGTCCTGAGATATTACTGAGTTTTATGCACTTGTATGTATGAGAACATGGGATTTGTGAGCACTGCTGTCAGCACAGCAGGGAGCTGCGGAGTTCTGGGGGCTGAGCTGCAGCACTGCTCAGTTCTGCACTTCCCACCTGGGTTTTCCTCGCAGGATGTGGTGCTGTGTGGACTTGCAGGCCTTTCAGTTAGCCTCCTTTCTCACCCAGGCATAAAGAAGTGAGAAGCTCTTGATGCTTACCTGGTAGTTTACGGTGAAAAGGCGACCTGGCTGCACCAAGGACACGCTGTAAGTTCCTCCTGGTATCTCTTGAGGGTGTTGCTGTAGGGGAGCAGAGCAGTGGTGAATCTGGCTGCTTGTGGCGTGCCTGTAGCTGACAGCAGCAGGTGTGTGCTGTGTTCAATCCATGCCTGTCTCTGCTTGTGGCTCCTTGTCTGTAGAAGTGTCTGTGTTTATGCTGGTGCCTTTCTGCTCTTTTCATTCTTAGTTCTGTGTTGCTTTACACAGTCTGTTGTGGGGGAAAAACCGGACCATAGTTCATTCCTTCAGCAAGGGCTGCCTGGGCAGGTTTCTGTGGGCTCTTTAGTGCTGCTGTTCTGTGTGCAGAGACTCCAGGAGCAGCCCTGCACCTCTGGAGTGAACTTCTGAGCTTCTAATTCTACCCTGACTAAAGGATCTGCGCTGCAAACTAAATAGGCATCCTACTCTCAGGGTCATGATAATGTGATTTAGCTGTCTGCTGTTTTCTGCAGCTTATTTAAGCCAGGAAGCTTTATGAACTCTGTTTAAGAAAACATTTTGTCATCCAGGTGAAGCCAGGTCTGTGTCCAGTGAGTTTGTTAGTGATTTTTGAGATCGGTGTGCTGCAGAGGAGCATGGTTGATGCTATTGGGAAGCAAAAACATTTCGTGCACAAAGCACCAGGATATGAGTGCTCAGCCATGCAAGTCAGCAGATTTTGCTTTATTTATTTTTTCTTTCTCAGCCTTTTTGGCTTGTTTGGCAGTTGCTGCTGCACTTTGGGGCAGTGGCTGGAACAAGCAGGTGCCATTTTGTTGGTGGCTGGCAGGCTGGGTTTGCGCTCCACAGCTCGTTTGCATGAAGGGAAATATCATCCCCTCTTAGCAGGAGCTAAGTGACAGGGCAGTCATTGCCACTGGGTCAGGGAAAGTTAAGAGCTCCTGCTTAATTTAGCTTTATCGTGTCAGAGCTATGAATAGTCAAATCATGGGATTACATTTCATGCCAGCTGAGAATGGTGTTTGCAGTGCTTCGCTCCATGGTAACCGGAAGCTGTGGCATCCACACAAAGAATAAAAGCCCCGAGTGCCACCCAGCCTGGCTGTGGGATGCTGGGCGCCCTGCCGATGCTGTCCTGCCCCAGGAGCTGCGATCTGCCACCCCCTCTGTGCTGTCACTGTGCTGTTCTCCCCTGCTGTACCTGTGCAGGAATAACGGAGCCTCTCGTGGCTCCTTTGATGTGCAAGCAAATGGAGCTGCTCCGAATTTCACCCCCAGCTCCATCACCCAGCCGTCTTCAGCCTGCTCTGATTTGCGATGTGAGGTGGCGGCAGGGAAAGAAAAGCTCCGGATGGGAGGATGCTGCAGCTCTGCAGCCAGCCAGCGTGTGTCCTCCTTGCTGTCTGCATTTCATTGTCATCTTGAAAGGGAGACTGAAAGCTTGGCCAGTAACCCCGTAGGTTCTGTGCTGTGAGAGCACACAGCGCTGCTCAGGGAGCGGGGCGGGCTGTGAGCTGAAATCCTGCTCTCAGAATTAGACTCAGTGTTAAGGAGTCCAACCTGTGCCGTGACAGAGCGTTGGATATGTGGTGTCTGGAGGGAGTTGTGTACCTGGTTGTTTTGGGCCCCGTTTATCTGCATGAATTATTTCAGTTAATTGCTCCTGTAGGGCTGTGGATGAGATTGGTTTCCTGAGTTCAGGATCTGTGCATATGCTGAGCAAGCATTTGCGTTCAGCCCTTTCTATACTGGGGTGACTGGATGACATCAGAATCCTTCACTGTGCTTGTGAAATGTAAGCATTTGTCACTATCTCAATGAGTTTAAATCTCTTAGTCCCTTTTTTTCACTTAAGTGAGAACTCAGTCGCTTCTGAGAAAGATCTGAACTTTCTGCTGACTTTCTGTTCCCGGGTTGTTTGGGTCTGGAAGCAAGATGCTGATGGAAGCTTTCCCTTCTTATTGTAGATGTTTTTCTTCCGTGCTCCCCAGGAAGTCCAGCTGCTGACTTCTGTTTCAGAGGCAAACATGCTGATATCTGATCGACCTTTTCTTTGAGCTCCTTGTCACTACCACATAAAAACACAAGGCTTTTAAAGCTCAAAGATGTGTCAAACGGCTTGTAGCCAAGGAACTGGTGTCAGAAATAAAATCATCTACAAGTTTGCAGCTGGTCACGCAGTTTGGAAGGGATTTGTCCAAAAGAACAATGTGCAGAATCACTCTTTATTGGAAGAACCTATAAATAATTTTCCAGCCGTTGTATAGAATCTGTTTTTAATTATCTGCAACCTCAAACACACTTGAAGGAAAATCTTAGTTCTGAAAGCAGAGCGGAGAGAGACTGGAGCAGCTATTGACAAATGACTGCTTCTCTCACCATGGCAGAGTAATCATAACTTTTGTCCCCTGAAGCGTGTCTGGCACCTACTGGAGTAGAACGAGCTGTGCTGGATCTTCTGAGCAGGCTGTCCAGCACAGTTCTTGCTCAGGAGGATGGAGGGTCGTTGTAGGGCACAGGTAACTTCTGTCGTCAGCCTCCTGTCAGCACTGCCTGAGTGCTTGCTCTT